GCTTGGCTCAGTGAGCGCAGGGGCACTCTGCTGGAGCCCTCGAAGGGAATTCCTCCTCAGGTCTTTTTCTTTTAAACCGAGGGCAAAGGGGCGGCTGCGAGGGCACAGGCTGCAGCATGCTGGGCAGAGGAGAAGCAGGGGCACGCTCTAGCCTCAAGGAGCTCGGGGAGTGCAGGCTCTGAGCGCTCTGCGTGGCGCCACCGCCTCTTGCTGAACGCGGCCTTTTACTGGTTGTTTCATTTCCTTGTCTAGGTTTAGGAGATGCATGGGGACAGCCCAGTCGCACCGGGCCCCTGGACAGTGTCGCCAAAGAGCTGGGATCGCACTTGCTGCAGGTAGAACCACCGCGCCGGGGGGGAGGAGTGCTGCCGCCACCAGTCGCCCTGGCAGTTTCCCGGGCGGGGGCTCCCTTCTGACCCTGCGGCACAAATCCACAGACCACCCCCAAGCTGAAGAAGTCCCAGGGGCGGGTGGCTCCCACCCGGGAGGGTCAAAACCCAAGCGTGGATGCTTAGCCTCTCCGGTACAGCCTCAGCCCCAGCCCCAGCCTGCATCCCTGTCCCTCCCAGCGCCCCAGGAGTTTCTAGCTCACCCAGACCTAGGCGGAAAGGCGCCCCTGAACGTGGTTAAATCATTTCAACCTTACTTCGGTTTGTCCCAGACACCGGGCCAGGCTCTGGAGCCAGAGAAGCACCGTTCAGGAAGCATTGAGCCACAATGTGGCAGCGTTTAGCAAATGTGAGTGTGTGTGTGTGTGTGTGTGTGTGTGTGTGTGTGTGTGCACGCGCGCGCAGGAATGCGCAAATGAAAGGACAGCATCAATAATGAAGCAGCAACAGTTGGCACTAATGCAGAGTTTATTACAGACCATGTTTCTTTTCAAAAGATTACTTTAGCATCTGGTATCACCACCCATCTTGGTCGCTTGGTTTGGGGTCAGGCGTTTTGCGCTTCCAGTCCCCGGCCTTTTGGTCCCAGACTGCTACGCTGCCAGGACCTCAGCTTTCTATCCCTGCAGTACAGAAGCGCTGATAGGCACCCCGGCGGTGAATTTGGGATGGGTAACCTGGGCACCAGCGTCCACTTCCAAGTCAGTATCTGGCGCTAGCAGAGGACAGCAATGTCCTTTACAGAGCCTCATCAATGGCCTGATTCATTCACCACCACCACCACCACCACCCCGCCCCCCATAGAAGAATGCTTACCCAGACCTATTTTGCATTTCCTCTATTTTGTGTTTCCATTAAAAGCAGAGTGGGGGAGGGTAGGATGTTGGCTGCAGGGCGTTGTGACTTAGATCTGCAAGTTGGCCACTGAGCTCTGCATTTTGAAAAACCAGATCTTTTCAAAACTTTTGCCCCAAATGCCTGGGAATTATTTGTTTTTGAAAATACATGTGCGAGGGAGAAGGGAATGAGGGAATATTTGAAACCCGGAACTTTCACAACTAGAGAGAACTGCGGTGGCATAGCAGCCGGCCAGGTAACGCTCTCTGGGAGCCTGGCCCACACACCCTCGGCTCGCCAGCTGCCCCCCCTTCCAGCTTTGCTCTGGATGTTTTCCGTGTTTCATAGTGTCCACATTATAAGTGACACTAATATCAGGGACAACTAAGTGCTTGCAGGGGAACTTCAGAGAAAGTCTGGTGGGCAAAGTCAACACTTCCAGAGGTCTTACATTTAATTAATTCCTGAGTGGTGT